AAAAAAAAAATGCTCCAATTAAAGTGCTATATTTAAAGTTGGAGTGCAGTCTTATGCAAAAGAGGAAATTGTTGACAGAACAGCATTCACTGGATTCAAAGTATTTTACTGTAGCCCAAGCGATACCCGCTTTTGCTATCCATTAATGATGCACGAGCTTCTTCTTCTTCAAGAATTTCTCCCGAAGCAAGCTAAAAAAGTTGAAATTCCTCGCTTGCCAAAACCTAGCTAGTGCGAATTTGTAGGCAACTGAATTATCGGACAACAAGCCTCCTCCACCTGCCTACTGACCGCTCCGAGCATCACCATGGACTACCCAGCGTCCACTATTCACTATTAACCGGTTTCTTTCGGAAATGAACGGGCCGGTGCAGTTTAAAGAAAGCTTTACCTGATACTTCAAGCATTTATCAATGCATTCTTCGCAACTAAAGCCAGTTGTTCGATCAAACATTACTGCATTTGCAATTGCTGTTTGCGGTTCAAACCGCCACAAGTTCTGATCTGAAACGACAAGTGTTTTCTGTGTGGACTACGTAGGCCGAAAGTCGTTTGTATTTTGTCCAGAACCATGTCACCGAATCCGCAATTTTGGTCCCCAAGACTGCTTCTTTTGTATTCACATTGCATGAAAACTGGTTTCAATGCCATTTAGTTTAGGCTTTACTACTGGAAGCTCCTTGATTTTGCAAGCTGTCTACATACCAAACATTTGTTAGCGTTCTAAGAATTGTTTTGGCCAAATTCAAACATGAAAAGTAAATGACGAGACAAAAAATTCAACTTTTTAGAAGTCGCTTTGTGCCTCAGATTAATTTTTGCCCATGCTGCTGCAGCCTGCAGTACGTAAATGAATGCTGCGTAAACGCACCAAATGTGCACTGGCCAGCACTTTTGGCATCTCGTCTCATCGGTGGTGGTGGTGGCCGATAGCCGAATGATGGCCGGTCGATCGCGGGTACACGAGGTGGAGCCACAGGGGCCATTCGATCACTGCTAGCGGAATCGACGTCTTGATCAGTAGCAGTCGTATCGCCGGGACTGGGATACTGCCCGATGACGCATCTCGATAGAATTCCCAAAATAATAACTGTGGTTAGCATGATCGAGCGACGGCGGAATGAGTTTGGAACCACAAGACAGAGGAATGTAAAAACATCAAAATTGGATTAAATAGGGTAATGGGAGGGCGGAACAAACTTGTTCGGATCGAATCCTTGAAAGTGTTGCTGATTGACGGATGAGTTAGGAAGATGCACGGATGACCTGGATCCTTTATGTCCTTAATTCTTCTGTTACAACGTAATAGATTCTCATACTGTACTCCAGATACCCATTTCCTTTCTCACAGATATATCCTGCCAGGGAAATTTATTAGCAGCGACAGATTCTGGTTCCTGAATTTCGAAACAAACCCTAAAATTTAGAAAATCAGCTCTATAACAAAAGAAGCCTGACCAGACTCAAAAGAACATAGCTGGATAATTCAATCGCAGTTATAAATAAAGGCTGAATTTAAAACAGCTTTGCTCAGGAAGCAACAAACTTGGAATTTTTGAGATTCAACCTCTGACTTAATGCAAGGATCGACTATAGTTTCTCAAATTTTTGCTCTAATTTTAAGCTTGATGCTTTAGCCCAGCATCTGAGAGATGAAACTCTGAACTAAAATATAACGAGGCAAATAAAAATAGTTTAATCTTCCTTGCTTTCGGCTCACTAAAACTCAATTTTAGATTAGTTCAGAATCCTGAACTGCTAGAAGGTAGACATAAAGTGGGGCCGGAATGTTTACTGAACCAACCGCAAAATGATATGATCGCGCCGGTTCCACAGAGCTACTAACTTTTTAAGTTTTACTGCTTTGGTCCAAAGCCCAACTTTGACAAAGCGCGGAGCACCGAACAGTAATTCCAAGTGTGAGCGCAATAATTTTGTCTTAAGAAACATGCCAGCAAAACTTCGGTTAATAATGCAACGAATCTGAAGTGTTATTCAAAGCAGAATTTAGATTGTAACAGATCTTAGAGCACTTCCAGAAGTCATTTCTAGGAAAAAAAATTCCAGAAGTCATTTCTAGGAAAAAATGCAGGAACATCCAAGACGGATTTTTTTTTAAATGGCTTTTTCTACCAAACACAAAACTAATTGCAGTATTCTCAACAGGATTCAGTCGGTTTGGCTTTGGAAGACAACCAGTATATCGAGATGAACGCCCGCAAACTGTTCTTAAAAACTTTGTGTTCGATTTCACAATATGGGTTGGGTTACTGAAGGGAAAAAATGGCTCTTCTGAAGTGTTGTGAAAACCAGTTGTTGCCAAGACTGAGATGCAATTTGAGCAAGCCAGCTCGCCGCTATCACAACAGAATTGTAGGCCGCTAAAATCGACTTGCCCCTTCATGATTTCTACTCACCAGGAAAAGTGCGCTAAAGAAAGATAGGCCAGAAAGGGGTCGTCGCACGGCAGTGAAACAAAAAAATTTTGAATTAATTTCGTACACACCACTGACATATGCGGCGTACGGACTAATACCGCGCTTGAGGCCACAGGCTGATACTTAGTGAAATTTAATGCCTTTTTTTTTTTCTGGCAGTTCAAAATGCACCGCGCAGTACTTTAAATCTCTAAAATGTTGAGCTTATTTGCCGAGCTATAAATTTCTGGAAGGGTTCCATAGTCACCAGAAGTCATCCCACCTTTCTTAGATAAGAAGTTAACTCGTCCAAAGAGTTACGAATATGACCTCGTCATGATACGTCATCAATTTTTGTAATGAAAAAAAAAGTAAAAAATAAAAACGACAACAGCAAGCGATCGGTGCAATCTGTTTATGTTATTCTTTCGGCACAGTTTAGGCAGTTCTAGAAATCCGAAGAAAATGAGGAGTAGAAGCTGGCAATAGAGATGTCAGGCTAGCGAAAGCTAGCTTTTGGAATTTGCGAACAACGGACCCGTCGACTTCAGGAGACGCACAATACGTACTGGAAGACAGGATTACCGGAAATTAAGGATAGAAAAAAGGAAAAAAGGAGAGGGAGGAAAAGTGGATTCTGTGCGCAGCTCTGCTTTTAACAACAACTTTCTCATGTTTCTGTCGGGAAGGTTTACCGGGGCCCGTTTCCATTTGTTCATTTTCAACTTTCATTCTTTGATCCTGTTCCAGCTTGAAGAAAGTAATATCTGCATAGCATTTGAGGAAAAGTCGCAAATTTTTTTAGGAAATGATATTTGTTCTCAGACTTGTGTCAAACTCAAAATAGCGTCTTTCGGGTTTGATCTAGTTTTCTTCAAAGCTAATTTTAAAAGATCGCAATCTGATTTTATATTCTCGGGAGTTTTATAGAAGCTACAATCGATTACTGAAGTTGTCGACAAAAAAGTTCAGGAACTCTGCATTGAATTTTAAAGAGTGCTATCAACAAATTCATTACTAGCTGAGAATTTTGGGGCGCGCTTATTACAGATTTCTGGATTTTCTCAAGACGCTGGTTGCGGTCTAGTAAAAATGCTTCTTATAACGTCATATGCTATGGTTGCCTTTTAAGCTTTTGACAAGTGTACTTCAGTGCAGACTTCGCAGCGGCGGCAGCAACAGCGTTTTTTGAGTTTGACAGAAGTATAAGAAAAAATACCATTTCCTAGAAAACCATACGAGTACTTTCTGGCTCCACATGCAGGTGGTTCTTTTTCCATACTCAAACGGGAGTAAAGGGGAAGGATGAGAAGAGGATAGGGAATGAGGGTTGCTGAAGAGTGTGGGAGGTGATGGCTTATGCCCAGGGATCTGAATATGTATGCACATCATATGCTTATGTGCTTGCGTCAGTCAACTGATATTATTTTGAATCCGCTCAAGTTTTGTATTCTCGTTTTTCCTCAGCTTCTTCAACTGCTGCAGCACTGCTCCCGTTCACTGCTGTTGTTTCATTGGCAGCTAGCTGGAGCGAACCACAGGTGTCTGCTCTGTGCATCGGATGTGTGTGCGTGTGTGTATGTGTGTACGTTGTAAAGAATTTTGTGATGCCTACCAACTGCTATCGCCGTTGCTGCCGCTGCTGCTAAGCAGCGAGGAAGAACTAGAGATGAATCGGTACAAGGCCTTAGGCTGTTCAAGCTATTTTAAGTTCTGCACACTCGGAGGCACGCAAGCATAGAGCTAGAGCAAGCAGAGTTAGTTATCCTGAAGCTGCAGCTGTTAGCTTATCCTTGCCCTTTCTTCAATCCTACATAAGGCTGCTCTTCAAATTCTTCACGCCTGAACTTCATTGTCTCACCTTAAATGTGCATAATTCCATATTTTTCCAGCTAATAAGAGCGAAGTGTTGTTACTTGAGCGATTTTCGCTCCCACATGCTCATCTTCTCCGAAACTTATCATAGTTCGGAAAAAATTGTTCATCCACTTAACCTGATTTCTGAACAGTGTCTGGATATCTCACCATAATTTTTTAGCGCCCTCTTTTTTCCCCTCACCGCTGACGTCTGAAGCAGTAATTTGAAGATGTAGCAGTGGCAAACAGGGCGAGCAACGAAACCCAAAATAAAGCGATATTGGGCAAAAAAATAGGTTGAAATGGAGCAATGATGATGTGAGCTAAGCACTCTTCGCGTAGAATTAATTTGTCTGTGTGGCACAAATGCAGCATTTATGCCAGAACTCAAAAGTAGACTACCAATGTTTATCCTGAGATACACACTGTAACTGTAAAAAAGATTCACTTTGCAATCTGCTTGTGCTTGTTGTGCTAAGACAAGTCAGCGAATTTTAACTTCTTATTAAATCGATAGTGGAGGGAAGCAAATGTTGAGCATACTGGTGAATGACATTCAATACCGGCCAGCTTGCTTTGCGGTTCAAGCTAGAAAACGCCTCGCCCCCAGAGCTTTTGCTTTTCGGCTGTGATTGACGAAGAGTGTCAATAGCTCGAGAAGAAGCAGGCTATGTTCTCTTTTATTTTGATTTAGCTTCACTTGCTGTTTCATTATTCCTTTGAACACGCAACATCGCCGTTGATTTCGAGTGGCTAGATTACCTCATATTTGTTCCACAAAAAAGTATAATTAAAAAAAGTGTGTATAAAATATCTGAGATGCCTACACTAATTGGCCAGGCTGCCTCAAATATATATATGTGTTCATATTTATTTATTTGTTTACATTTGAAACGATGAGACTGTCTTGGTTTCCTTGAATTTTCTGACATAGTTCAATTATCGTGGTCAAAATGCAGAGACTTTGTAGGAACTTATCAAAGCGGTAATTTTTAGGTGCTTTTCGATTACAAAACACTAATCTCTTGATCACTAATCAACATTTCAGCGGTACAAATTTGTTACGTAACATAGCATTACGATGCTACTGCCAGTTTTTTTTTTGGAAAAACATGGCCATTCATTATATGCTGTCTGAAAAAGAAAGTGTTATTGACTTCACTTTTCCTCTAAGTTGTACCGACAGTGCTGAATTGACGGGTTCCTACACGGCTTGACAAAAGCGGCTAAAACTTTTTCAAGCTTTGCTTGAAAGTATTACGACACGAGTAGAGAAAAGTCAGGAGAAGGGTATAGTGAAGCACACAACAGGCCACCAAATGGTACTGAGATCGCCCGGGCGATTATTGAGATGATTAGGTGCTACTAGTGGTTACAGAAATGCGCCAACACACCGGGCGCACTTGTCTCAACCTATGAAGCTTGTGTAAATCATCAGAATCCGGGTTTTCACCCGCACCGTATCGTGTTTTAAAGTTTACTTCTATTTGCTTGAGACACAATGAGGCAGTTTATGATTTCAATTTTTTCGATTTGTACAGAATCAGAGAGTATGTTTCTAACTTGTTTTCCTGGGTTTCCTAGTTTTGGAGTTTGAATCATTTGAACAAGAATACACACAAACATACACACATACACAAAAGAAAATGCTTTTTTTATACTGCTTTGAAAAAGTGCTCAAAACTGAAAGGTGTGTTGGCACCAAGTCATCTTACTGAAACATTTTCTGATTATTATTCGATAAGTTAACAATAAGCAGTTTATGAGCGCTAATTCTGAAATCAAGTTAGACCTCCAAAGTACTCTAATATGTAACAGAAGCTATATATCAGTTTAAATTTTAGTCAAAAAACTGCAAATCGGGAAACAGAAGTTTGACTTCATGCACCGCCTGGAATTACATTCTCAATGTTTCTGGTTGACCGCGTTTGTTGCTTTAGAACTAAGAGACCGAAAACACGCATGTTTCAAGTTTTTCAAGAATGTTGCGCATTAAAACAAAAATACTAGATGTTTTGAGAATTTTTCTGGTAATATTAAACCTGGCTCCGTGGTACTTTTTCCAGCCCGGCTCATGCAAGATACTATATGCTGAACGTAACCAGATCCGTTTAAGGCAACACTAATATCTTATCGAGTAAAAAACTTCTTTCGTACCAGGTTGCTGATGCGTTACGCTGTCTGATTATCTTACGTCGGATATACGATTTTTTTGCCAAAATTTTTGTTTTCACGAAATACTGACTCGGTAGCTGTGAAAACAAATGAATATTTGCCAGTTTCTCTTTAGCCGGTAAAGCCCGACTCATCATGTCTACGTTCGACAATGAGTGCGAGAAGGATCCAGGCTGGCAGTATCTGCGACAGAGTCGAGAACAAATGGCTCAAGTAAACTTTTCGCATTTCTACTTTTTTTTCTGGCTCAGTTCTGTCGGCCATGGCGCATTGGTTGCGGCGATAGAAATATTTAGTATGATCGTGTGAAAATTGCATATTCTAATGGATCCGATAAGTTTACAGCTTTTGTTTTATTCCTTAGCTGTAAATACAGACAGAGCATCGGATGCGAGTAGGAATGGGAGCGTATTTCCGTTTTAGTGAAGAGCGTGGCACATAGTAAATTTCAAGCATTCCCATAGTCTATTTAGCTAATATCTTTCAACCAGAAGTGCTTTCTGTAGTAAATAAAAGATCATCTGGCATAAATACGCCCGATACGTACATCATCGCACTTGGTCTTGCAAGTCCCTACTCTATCATAAATTTCTAACATCTGGCGGATTTGAAGGAGCAATCACGACCATACGACTCGAAGAAGAACTGCTGGATTCCGGATACTGAAGAAGGCTATGTTGCTGCGGAAATAACGAGCACTAAGGGTGATATGGTCACTGTGGTATCTGCTCGTGGAAATGAGGTTCGTTTGTTCTTCGTCAATAACCAAGAAGAACTAGCGGTAGAATGCTCTGGATGACTGTAATTTTGATTCTCTATTAATAGAGAGAAGGCGCACCTGGAATAAGCGATAGATAATAACTAAAGTCGCTACACGGTCTGACATAATTGCGCCCGGCATATGCAAGCATCCTAGAAATATCAGTAACATGGGATCCACACACCGACTGTACCCAGTGACAGCATTTCGAAAATTATTTTGACAAAGAATGCCCCTGGAGCAGCATACAATTGTAGCTTTTTTTGTAGACCTGCCATCGTCCAGCCCTAAACTAAGCTAAGCATTTCTAAATAAGCTCTAAGCTAGCCTTAGAAGTTTGTTATTGTCCGCTTCCAAAACGTGTGAACGATTCAATGAATTTGTCGCGAAGAAGCTGTTTGCAGGCAACACTCAAGAAGGATATGTTGCAAGAAATGAATCCTCCGAAATTCGAAAAGACCGAAGATATGTCAAATTTGACCTTTCTGAACGATGCGTCCGTGCTGCACAACCTTCGAGCACGATACGGATCGATGCTCATTTATGTATCTTTTTTGGCTTATTTAAATGAATACCATTATATTTTTTAACAGTTATGGATAATGATAAGTAAAGCAATTCACATGTTTAAGTCAGTGGCTTGATCCGGCAGTAAAAAAAATAATCCTTCCACGATTCTCTATCCACTTCAGTTGTAAATTTGGTACTGATGACTGCCAAGGAGTTAAATTGCTATCAGTTTGTTTCTTAACAAAATCAAAAGAAAGTATCATCGACATCGTTGGAGGGGCGTGTTTAGCGTTAAAATGTGCTACAACTGTATCTCACTAAAAAAATAAAATATGAAATTGATTTTGGCTCTTGAGTTAAGTACTGGAGTAGCGGAAATTCATAATTTGCCCTGCAATATGGCCACTTCATTTAAGAAGGGTGGCTGCGGGATCCAAGAAGCTTCTTATTATTTACCAGAGTGTAGGACCGAAAAAAAAGGAAGAGGTTAGGAAGAGAAATGGGATGATACAGGAGACTGCCGGGAGGTACTGTGTTACCAAAAATTCGAATCTTACTCAAGGCGATAGTTAATGAAGGTCGAAATGAGACTTTTTTGTTTTGTGGCTGATTTTCTGTTCGGGTTAAATATCAGGGCTTCAATTAAGAAAGTAACGGCGACTTTTTGGCTCTAAAATACTGGTTAATTTGACAATAACTTTTCGAGAAGCCTTTGAAAGTGTAGGAAAAAGAGATGAGTAAAAACAGTTGAGTTCAATGAAAAAAAAAAACTTGCTATTACAGACTTACTCGGGTCTATTCTGTGTTGTCATCAATCCCTATAAGCGTCTTCCAATCTACACCGATTCGGTTGCGAGAATGTATATGGGGAAACGACGAACCGAGATGCCGCCGCATTTGTTTGCGGTTTCTGACGAAGCATACCGTAACATGCTTTTGGATCATGAAAATCAATCGATGCTTATAACCGGTGAATCTGGAGCTGGTAAAACAGAAAACACCAAAAAGGTTCCATTTTTCCACACTTTTTTCACTTCTTGCAATGCTTTGTTTTTTAAAATGAAATTCCTCCTCTTGGAACTTCCGCTACTTCAGAATTTTTGTCTCAAAACATTTGTGTCTTTCTTTTAAGAAATTACTTCTGCTTTCCTTTTCTGGGGTCTCTTTTCACTTCACAGTTTTGTATCCAAAAGCTTCTTTATAGGTCATTGCATATTTCGCAGTGGTCGGTTCATCGCAGCAAAAAACTGGAGGCGAGAAAAAAGTCACGCTAGAAGATCAAATTGTTCAAACGAATCCAGTTTTGGAAGCCTTTGGAAATGCCAAGACTGTGCGAAATAACAACTCATCACGATTCGGAAAATTTATTCGAATTCATTTTTCGAAGCAGGGAAAAGTCGCCTCTTGTGATATTGAACACTGTAAGCTGGCTTTGCTAAATCCTCAAGCGGACTTTCCGGTGTTTTTTGATGACATAAGTCGTGAATGAATGCAATGCCAAATTTTTTTTTTTTGCTTCAGAACCTCAGATGCATTAATTCAAAATGATTACTATAAGCAAAGGCTGTTCTTTCTTGTCTGTTAAAAAGGTTAGGTTGTAAAAATATTGAGAAATTTCGCAGAGAGAAAGCTAATTTTCAAAAATTCGACAAAGTGAAAATGTTGGTTTGTTTCAGATTTACTAGAAAAATCTCGCGTGATTCGTCAAGCTCCTGGAGAACGATGCTATCACATTTTCTATCAGATATATTCCGACTTCAATCCAACATTGAAAAAAGACCTTCTACTCGACCAACCGCTGAAAAATTATTATTTTGTGGCGCAGGCTGAGCTGACTATCGATGGTGTTAATGATAAGGAGGAGCATCAGATGACAGACGAGGCCTTCGATATTCTGAATTTCTCGCCCGAGGAGAAAATGAATTGCTATCGGCTCGTCTCAGCAATTATGCATATGGGATGCATGAAATTCAAGCAGCGACCACGTGAAGAGCAGGCAGAACCAGACGGCACGGATGAAGCCGAAAAAGCATCTAAAATGTATGGTATTGACACGGAGGATTTCCTCAAATCTCTCACAAAGCCGCGCGTTAAAGTTGGCACAGAATGGGTGAACAAGGGACAAAACGTGGACCAAGTAACCTGGGCAGTTGGTGCAATGGCCAAGGGTGTTTACGCAAGAATTTTCAAGTGGCTTGTCACGAAATGTAACATAACTCTTGACCAGAAAGGCATTTCACGCGACTTTTTCATCGGTGTGCTGGATATTGCTGGATTCGAAATTTTTGATGTAAGTCCAGTCGAAAAATTGTTGACCTTTTACGATTTACGGAATAATTTTTCCTTGCATGTAAGTTGGTGGGAGATGGGTTAAAGGTAAGGCTCCTTCAAATATTTGGAAAAATTATCCGGAGCTTTCAAAAATCTCAAAAAATGTGCAGCGGTGTTCAGCAGTTCCAGTAAACAATTGAACGCTTTATGAAAAAATGTCTAAACTTTTAGTTTTTTCTTCTTAATAAATCCCAAACCACGCCAGAACATTTGTCCATCACAAAACGTAATTTTGACAGCAGAAACATCCATCACTTTTATCAGACGCTTGCCGGGTCGGAAACTGATATACTAGCTATTAACCAAAACAACCAGCTGCAAGATTAAATAACTCTTGATTTTTAACAATGACCAGTAAGATCGCAAGAACTCTCAATTTTTAATGATGCTGTCCGTACGTAGTCAGAAAAGAAAAGCAGGTCGACGAAAAAAGCTGACTGCTTGTACTAGTTGATTCTGTTTTCTTTTATTCTCCTGATTATTGTTTCGGCCAGTGCTGTTTGTGTCTCGCAGATTTTTCACGATTTCGGAGCCCAAAAACAAATGTCTTATTATTCTCAGTCCATGTTTCGGCGTTGCTGAGGCCTTCGTCATCTCTTTAATATGATGAAGCACTTTTGTACTTGGAGTAACGTTACAGACTAAACTTGCTTAATTTTAGTTCAATTCATTCGAACAGTTGTGGATCAATTTTGTGAACGAGCGACTGCAACAGTTCTTCAATCATCACATGTTCGTTCTGGAACAAGAAGAGTACGAGCGTGAGGGCATCCAGTGGACATTCATCGATTTCGGTCTTGACCTGCAGGCCTGCATTGAGTTAATCGAAAAACCACTGGGAATTATTTCAATGCTGGACGAGGAATGCATTGTCCCGAAAGCGACCGATTTGACACTGGCGCAGAAACTTATCGACACCCATCTTGGGAAGCATCCAAACTTCGAAAAGCCGAAACCACCAAAGGGTAAGCAGGGTGAAGCACACTTTGCCATGAAGCATTATGCTGGTACGGTTCGGTACAACGTCACCAACTGGCTTGAGAAAAACAAAGATCCACTGAATGATACCGTTGTTTCATGCATGAAAGCATCGAAAGGAAACGACCTGCTCGTGGAAATATGGCAAGATTACACAACCCAGGAAGAAGCTGCTGTTGCAGCAAAAGGTTTTTTTTTTGTTTATCAAGTTGTTAATCTGGAGCTGGAAGTTAAGATTTTTAGTTTTAAAATTTTTTCGTGCACTAAGCGCCTGAAACTAGATTTTATGTTACTTGCATCTTCAAGCTGCTGAAAGTAAGATCAGATTAAATTTATCGGACAAGAAATGAAGTTAAAACTTGAGGAATTTTTGTCTGCAATAGTATAGCGAGCCGCTTTACCACACTAACGCGGTGAAGTGCAAGCTTGAAAAATTTTCAGCCTGTAGCTTCAGCCGTTCTTGAGCCATAAAAGCGCGCCGTTGCGCTGGTACAAAGATGAGTGCATATCAATATAGCGATTTTTTGACGCGTATAGTCCCGAAGAGCGGGAAATATTCTAGGTTTAGAGCTGTGATCGCAGTCCTGCATCTCGGTTTGACTAAAGGCACTATCACAGACATACTATGGCACTGTTAACTAGAAACTGACAAAACCCACTAGGTGAAAGTTATCCACTAGAGCCACTCTCGACTTAGACAACAGTTTAGCATATATACAGATTTATACGTTTCTAATAACTTTCAGAAGGCGGCAGTGGTAAGAAGAAGGGCAAAAGTGGTTCATTCCTGACCGTTTCCATGATGTATCGCGAATCACTGAACAGCTTGATGAATATGCTCAACATGACACATCCACATTTCATCCGCTGTATTATTCCGAATGAGAAAAAAACCTCGGGATTGCTAGATGCCTCGCTAGTCCTCAATCAGCTGACATGTAACGGTGTCCTGGAGGGTATCCGAATCTGCCGAAAAGGTTTTCCGAACCGGAATTTGCATGCTGATTTTAAACAGCGTTATGCAATCTTGGCAGCAAAAGAGGCAAAAAGTGACGACGATCCGAAGAAAGCTGCCGAAGCAGTACTCAGTAAGTTGGTCAACGAAGGAGCACTTACTGAAGAAAATTTCCGAATTGGAAAAACCAAGGTATTTTTCAAAGCCGGTGTTCTGGCGCATCTTGAGGATTTGCGTGACACAAAGCTTGGGGAGGTGCTCACTGGATTCCAGGCCAAAATTCGCTCATACCTATTCTTGGCCGATCGCCGTCGAAGAATGCAGCAACGGCGCGGATTACTGATCGTGCAGCGGAACATCCGTGCCTGGAGTGTTTTGCGTACGTGGGAATGGTTCCTTCTATACGGGAAAATTAAACCGATGCTCAAATGCGGTAAGGAGGCTGAGGAGATGGAAAAGATGAACGAAAAAATCAAACAGTTGGAGGAAAATATAGCAAACGAAGAGAAAGCTCGAAAAGAACTCGAAAGTAATTCAACAAAACTGCTTGAGGAACGGAACGGTGTTTTTAATGAACTAGAAGCAGCTAAGGCGCAACTCTCGGACGTGGACGATCGACTCAATCGACTCACAACGCTCAAATCAGATATCGACAAGCAAATTCACGTAGGTTTTTTCATTTTTTTTTTTCAATGTCAAACATTTTTTGAGCACAGAACTAATTTTGTAAGTGTTTGAAAAAACACGAAAGGAATGCAAAAAGAGTTCAAATAACTAAAGATGCCCGCACTGCACTTGGTTGCATTGCGGGGAAAAAAAGTTGCACTGTAGTGGTGTAGAGAAGATTGTGCATCCGGAAAAAAATATTCGAGTTCAGAACTAGTTCCAAAGCATTATCAGTATTTTTGGGATATATTAGATTTTAAATATTTGTTCGAGGATAATTCCTAGGTTTGTGGTTTATATAACTGTACTCAGCTGAGATGCATAGTCATATATTTTTGCTCCGGCCACTATCCTAGCAGTGAGTTATTTTTGAAAACTGACATTTTTTAAGGAATTGGAAGACCGTCTCGGCGACCAAGAAGATCGAAATTCGGATTTATCAAGATCGAAGAAAAAGGTAGAAGGGGAAGTGGAGAATTTAAAGAAAGCAATAGCCGATTTGGAGGCAAGATTGCAAAAAGCGGACGCGGATAAGCAGAGCCGCGAGCAGCAAATCCGGTCATTACAAGACGAAATGCAACAGCAGGATGAAAACATTGCCAAGCTGAACAAAGAGAAGAAACATCAGGAAGAGGTTAACAGAAAGCTCATGGAAGACTTGCAGGCAGAAGAAGACAAGGGGACACACACCAACAAACTGAAGGGCAAGCTTGAGCAAAACCTAGACGATTTGGAAGATAATTTGGAGCGCGAAAAACGGGGACGAAATGAAATTGAAAAACAAAAGAGAAAAGTTGAGGGTGAACTGAAGGTGGCCCAAGAAAATATTGACGAAATTGAGCGACAACGACACGACATCGAAAGTAACTTAAAGAAAAAAGAGGCGGAAGCACAGGCAATAACCGCACGACTTGAGGAGGAGCAAGACCTGGTTGGTAAGCTTAAGAAACAGGTAAACGAGACGCAGAATCACATCACGGAATTGGAAGAGGAGCTGGAGAATGAACGACAATCACGCAGCAAAGCTGAACGAGCAAAATCGGACTTACAGCGCGAACTTGAAGAACTGGGAGATCGCTTGGATGAACAAGGTGGAGCTACTGCAGCACAGATGGAAGTGAACAAGAAACGCGAAGCGGAACTCGCGAAACTTCGACGCGATCTGGAAGAAGCCAACATGAATCATGAGAATCAACTGGCCGCGATCCGCAAGAAGCACAACGATGCAGTAGCAGAGCTGGGCGATCAGATCGAGCAGGCCCAGAAGGCGAAAACGAAGGTGGAAAAGGACAAGATACAGGCGCAACGTGATGCTGAAGATCTGGTGACGCAGATTGACGGCGAAACGTCTGCTCGGATGAACAACGAGAAATTGGCGAAACAGTATGAAATGCAAATTGCTGAACTGCAGAGCAAATGCGACGAGCAGAATCGGCAGCTTCAGGAATTCACCACACTGAAGACCCGGCTGAATGGGGAAAACAGCGATCTCGGCAAGCAGATTGAGGAAGCGGAATCGCAGCTAAATGCACTGACGAGGTTGAAGAGCCAGTTGACGTCGCAGCTGGAAGAAGCGCGACGTTCACTGGACGAGGAAGCACGCGACCGCAACGCACTGGCAGCCCAAATGAAAAATTACCAGCACGACATTGACCAGGCTCGTGAATCGATGGAAGAAGAAATTGAAGCGAAGAGTGAGCTAATGCGCCAGCTGAGTCACGCGAATGCCGAGATTCAGCAGTGGCAAACACGCTTTGAAAGTGAGGGTCTGCTGAAGGCCGACGAACTGGAGGAGTCGAAGAAGCGACAAATCCAGAAGATAAACGAACTTCAGGAAGCCTTGGATGCTTCAAACTCGAAAATTAGCTCTCTTGAGAAAACGAAATCTCGACTTGTTTCTGATCTCGATGACGCTCAGGTGAATTTCATTTGCTCACTGCTTTTATGCTTCAAAAGGAAATTATTCATTTTGCTCGCATAATTAATGCCGAACGTTGACTGGTTACGGTAGTATCAGTCTGCGAAATCAGATTGACATTCTCTGGCTTCTACCTAGCTCTTGGCTGATTTAATCATTAAGTAAAATGACCCGATTTTTCCTCCGTCTGCACATAACACTGGCCAAAAAACAGCCTTGGGAGCAGAAGTTCATTTCAGAAGAGCACATGGGCATCTTAAAGTTTTACTGAAATTAGCAAGATCTGCATTAGTTAACAGAGTCCTGATTGGTTTCGATGAACGTTAGCTTCTTGCATTTTCTTTTTTACTGAAGAATAAAAAAAAAATACCTTGTGAGGGCCAGCACTGACACTAGTTGGATTTATTAGTCTGAGAAGGTAAATGAAATCACAACCTACTTTTTGGGTTTGGTTCCCAGCTTTTTGACAGTAATAAGAGAAGAACTTCGAAATTTTATTTTGGCGAGTTGTTGCAGAGCCTTAATAGCACTACGCGATCTAATTTCACTAATTTAGTCTGAATATGAAACTGAAAAATTAGTTGCTAACTCAAAAAAGAAGTAGTTTGTGACTGTGATCAAAGCTGCCCTTATGAAGACCAAAACAATCAGTTTTTGTGTCACAGTATCGTTTCTGTTCGTGCAGACGTCATGCCTGTTGCACCAGCATTTGGCGATTATTTTATTGCTTTGCACAACAGGCTGAAATTAATTTTTTTGAGAATCTTTTACAATTTCTTTGCCTTCCTAAGTGATTAAAAACTAAGTGGATTCCAGTTCTGCAAAAATTTCTTCTGCTCTACTGGTTTAAAAAATCGTCCATTTTGTTTAAAAAAACCCGTGGCTTTTCCTGACAAACTGAAAATTAGTGTTTAATTCTTCAAACAAATTTTAGATGGATGTTGAGCGAGCCAACTCCTACGCAAGTCAGCTTGAGAAAAAACAAAAAGGATTCGATAAAATTATTGACGAATGGAGAAGAAAAACAGATGATCTAGCTGCGGAAGTAGATAGTGCCCAGCGGGAAGCTCGTAACGTATCCACCGATCTGTTCAAATTGAAAAGCGAGCAGGATGAGGTGCTTGAATTAATCGAGGGTCTTCGCCGTGAGAACAAGGAGCTGACGCAGGAAATCAAAGATTTAACCGATCAGCTTAGCGAGGGTGGGCGCTCTGTGTTCGAAATGCAGAAGATAATCCGCCGACTGGAGGTCGAAAAGGACGAACTTCAGCATGCGCTTGATGAAGCTGAGGCTGCCCTGGAAGCGGAGGAAAGCAAAGTGCTTCGAGCACAGGTTGAGGTCTCGCAAATACGGGCAGAAATTGAAAAACGAATTCAAGAAAAAGAGGAAGAATTTGAAAACACGCGAAAGAACCATCAGCGAGCTATCGAGTCAATGCAGGTATGCATTTCAAAAAAACTTTTGAACTGCCTGACCTTTAAATTGATATTGCTCCAAAAAGCTTTGTGGATTCACAAATCTGTCTCTCATTGTGATATTGTGATTATCGGACAAACGATCCTACCCTTCTTTTTTGCAAGTGCCATTAAAATTTTCCAGCTAAAAAAAAGCTCTAAAGTTCGGCTCGGATTTGATGAACTGCTTTGCAGGCTTCACTTGAAAATGAATCGAAAAGTAAGGCCGATTTGATGAGGTTGAAGAAGAAGCTTGAATCGGACATTAACGAACTGGAGATTGCACTGGAGCATGCAAATCAGGCAAACGCTGAAGCACAGAAAAATGTGAAGCGTTATCAAGACCAAATCAGGGACCTGCAACAACAAGTTCTTTTTTATTCATCTTTTCTCTGACAGCTGTTCATTTGTCGTTTTTTGCGTTTATAGACGATCCCAACGATTGGTTTGGATGCACAAAGCGGTAAAAAAATATCAGTAGCTGAGCACTGTAATCGATTTTAAGTTTAATAATTACTTAGCTGCTTGCGCCAGTAGACCGCTGTATTTATTTATTTACCATGTGGTTCTGAACACGAAAAAGAATGTATTCCCAACAACCCAGAAAAAATGATCCTTTGCTGCATCCAGCACGCGCTGACTACGACGTTTTCGAATTCTAGCTTTGCCCTCTCAAAGGCTGCAAAACTAACCTATATTTTAAACAGCATGATTAGAGGTCAGAATAAAGTGGGACTAATATTTATATCATTCATTGCCTGTAAGCTGCACTTAGTTTTCTTTCGTTTTGAAATTTTACAGTTAGATTGAATTTGGGACTGAGGCTGTAACTCAAGGCACCAAGATTTAGCAATTCTCCCACTGTTCACTGGGTTGCGGAATCAACTGTGCAAATTTACAGACTTTCCGAAAATTGCCCTGCACTGTTTACTGTAGCGGTCACGAGATATTATATTTGTTTGCAGGTGGAAATTGAGCAGCATAACCGGGAAGAAATTCGGGAGCAGTACCTAAACATGGAAAAGAAAGCAACACTGCTGCAGTCGGAAAAGGAAGAGCTTGTGGTTGCAATGGACCAAGCAGAAAGGGCTCGCAAGCAAGCAGAACGTGATGCAGCTGAAACACACGCGCAGTGCAATGATTTGTCGGCTGAAGCGGAATCGCTGAGTTCACTGAAGAAGAAACTGGAAGCGGAGCTTCTGGCGGTGCAAGCGGATCTGGACGAAACGCTCAATGAGTACAAAGCTTCGGAAGAACGCAGCAAAGCTGCAATGAACGATGCCGCACGGCTTGCCGAGCAGTTGCGCCAGGAGCAGGAGGGCTCGCTGCAAAACGATCGAGTCCGGAAGGCGTTGGAAACACAGCTCAAGGAGATGCAGGTATTTATGCAGTTTTGCTAACAAACAGTATATACTAGCGGTGAAGCAATCAGAAGTATGTAATTTTAGTGTGCGATCAGAAACCACAATGACGATCAGAAGCTTCTTCCTAAACTTAGCGATCATAAATTAGGAGCTATTCCTGGATGAACTTGTTGTGACATTTTGAAAAACGATTGTTTTTTGACGGAAAAAGTTTCAGACTCGTCTAGATGAGGCAGAAGCTGCTGCTCTGAAAGGTGGCAAAAAGGTTATCGCAAAACTGGAATCCCGCATTCGTGAGCTGGAAAATGAGCTTGATGGCGAGCAACGACGATATCAAGAAACAAATAAGAATCTCAGCAAGCACGATCGACGTATGCGAGAACTTCAGTTCCAGGTAACTGCTTTTGGCTCTAGCGAACGACACCTTTTGCCGGTTTGCTTGTCGGCGTCTCATTTCTTGTTTTGGCCTTAATACGGCGAAAAATATAATTTTGTGAATAATTTATTGCTTTACGCTCCACCATCTTGTTCATAAACGGGACAGTCGGGAATGTCAACAGGAAGTATCTTTTTAGTGTTCTCTCCCGAAAATTTACTGATAGTGCTGCATCTATTTCGCATTTTTTAAAACAATCGTTGCAAATGAATGTTGTGGCAGGTGCAGTATTGCGCGCTTATCTAACTGGCATATACCTCCATAAGAAGCCAGTAAAAAGTTGGGATGCATAATAAGAGTAATAAGCATGTGTTGAAACTTTTTTAGGTAGATGAGGATAAAAAGAATGCCGAAAGAACGAGAGATCTCATTGACAAGCTGCAAAATAAGCTGAAATCGCAAAAGAAGCAGATTGAAGATGCGGTAAGTGCACGTTTCTGATAATGATTTTGCAAATGGCGTCTTTTTTCGAGTCTGAATGCAGTGTACTGTCTTCGCCTGATGTCTTATTGCCAACATCGCCATATCGCCACGTAGCTTAGCAAATCTCAGTAATTTCGAAAAAGTTAAAACGTAAAAAACTGTACATTTTCAGGAAGAACTAGCCAATGTGAATCTGCAAAAATTCCGCCAGATACAGCATCAGCTGGATGATGCGGAAGAGCGTGCTGATCACGCGGAAAATTCGCTTTCAAAGATGCGCGCAAAAAGTCGCAGCGGTACGACAGCGCCTCCGGGGGTGCAAATCTCTCAGTCGGCTGTGCTGCGCTCTTCCTCGCGCTCACAATTTTAGTGCCTTAGATGATTGATTATTGCTTATATGCAGATTTGTATGAGTAAATTGTCAGCTATTAATAAACCATTGTACTTGTTCGTTCATATCCTGAAAAATTTTTCGTGGAAGTTCTTAAAAGCTGGTCGGTTGCGGAGATCTGAAAAATGTGCCTGACAAATGCCTTTGATGAAAATTCAATGAAAACAAACATCCACGGCAGTCGCGAAAAAAAGGAGACTGAAATTCATCTCGATCTTAAAATTACACCGGTCTTAGTGTAAACAAATGGAACACGTCCAAGATTTTATGGCTTATATTTAAGAACTCTTATCTTGCTACATTGCACTGCTATTAATTTACAAAAAGATTCACAAATAAAAGAGCTAAAATTTTCAGGTGCCCTTTGTCACTGCCCCTTTCTGTGCTGCGCTTCTTCCTTGGCTCTTCCTCATTTTGTTGACATTGCCAGAGTTTGCAGTTTTTGTTGCTGAAATTAATTTTTGCAGTTGTAAGAGGCGGGTGGCGGTAGAAATGGCGAAGAGGGAAAAGACCGAAGGAACGTGCGGCCGCAGAGGAGGGGGAGAAAGTTTTGAAAAAGAATAACCGGTCTCAAACAGGATAATCACGTAAAAAGAAAAGTTAATTAATAAGAAAGGATGAAAAAACATCTCTGTGGGCATTACCCATCCACCGACTGCTCCGGATACATAGTTAAATTTTATTCAAGCCATCTGCCACTTCCCATCCTCACTCCACAGTGCGCATTCTCTCTTTCCTTCCACCTCTCTTGGTTCTAATTCAGGTTGGTAGTCGTAGCAGTCGAAGGGCGTGAGCAGGTTGGTAGTCGTAGCAGTCGAAGGACGACGATATTCAATCGTGACGCGGAGTATCGCTTCGGAACGAGGCTTACGTGTATGTAAAACCAGAACCTGTGTAGGCTTCCTCTAGTTTGGCTGTAGACTCAATTTTTCTTTTCTTTGTAGTGCGTCTTTTCCAGAGACATTAGACGAGTCTCAATTTTCGAGATCTGCTGTTGTCTTGATGACCAACAAAAAAGCGTTTCCACCTTCGGACATTTTGTAAGTCCAGGTTTACAAATCGCAAAGTTTGTTTTTCACCCCGATCTCTCTATTTTGGATTGCGCACTGAAACTCTATGCACCTGCCCGAAAGCTCTGCATTGCCTGTATGCGAGATCTAAATGTCATTTCTGGATGTTTTCTTCAAATGATCAAAATTCAACTATTGGTTTGTGTCCGCTGTGGGCGTGCTATTGCTAAACCAACAGCATGTTTTAATATACAGATGATTTAAGCCCTCTTCCTCCTCCAAACTCGCGGTCACGAAGGTTGGAGGAGGAAGTGGGACTTAAAATTACCTGTTAAGACAGATTTTGCTCCTGATAAAGCAACAAAATCTGTTGGAAAGAAGCACAAGCGGGGTAAAGATTCTTCCACTAGTTTCAGCAGCAAGAAATCACTGGCAGCTTCTTTGCTGATGGTTGCTTTTGCTAAAGGCTCCACTAGTCACATGCCCATAAGCTATCCTTTCAGTAAAAGTGCTCTGGCAGTTTTGAATTTGAGGCTACTGTTCTGGTGGCCGCTCATTTTGTTAGTTCGTCTGCAAGTAAATTCGGGTGTTTTCTAACTTTTAAAAGGCATCTTTCAGGAATCATCGCAATCGTAAACGTACTAATGGAAAAACGTTTAGTTTTGTCGTTCACTTTGGAATGCTTGTTTCTTGGCTGCACTGGTTTTTGTGGCAGCTGCTGGAATACAGGCATACCAGTTCCGCAGCTTTCTTTCACCTGCTTCAGCCTCTGTGACCTTTTTGAAACTGGCTCGAAAAGTGGCGGTGAAGATACAAAGCCGAAAGAACCAGAAGGCGGGCATTTTGGTAACGGCTGTGGAGGTGCTGTTACTGATTTATTTTAAAATAAGACCTACTGTTTAATTACGTTACGTAATATTTTTTCCTTTTCGCACAAGTTTTGCGCTGGATTTATTTGCTACGACTATGGCGATAAATTCTGCGATAAAGATGCTTAACGCAAAACCAGCTCATCAAACTCATCATCCCTATTGGCTGTGACAAGCAAAAAACAAGCGATCTTGAAGGCTAGCAATTGCTTAGATCGCAAAGCCTCAGTCAAAGTAAATGCAGTATTGTCTTCCTAAAATATCTGAAGTTGAATGATGGGATAGAAATGTACTAGAATTTCAGGGAGGAAAAGGAGATCAGTCAACGAAACTGGATGGATTTCGAGCACAGGAAAAAATCATCCTTCGGTTGATTACATGTGCAGCAATCTGCAGCTGAAAAGAATAATGACTGAAGTAAGACAGCAGGTTTTTTTCTAAATGACCTATGAAGTTGTTAATTAGAGTCTTTAAAAAAAAAGATTTTCCATTTCATCTACTCATCAAATCCGCCAGAAGTTATGTGTGCTTGTTATTGGCTGCCTATTTGCCTCAGCACCTCTGCTCAGTTCATGCAAGTATCCAAACATATTTAAAATATGTATTATTACTAGTATTCGCATGCCATTTCTTAAAAGTGAATTAAGAGAAAATGAAGTGCAAAAAGAAGAGGACATACTAGAAATCTGTACATTACACTGATCTGAACATATTTAAAATACACATATTGTACAAAGGAAAAGGAAAAAAGTATTCAAAATGTTTATGAGCGGAATCTGCGTGGCCCATAGATGAATTGCTTTTTATATGTATCTTATAACATGTAAATTATATGTTTTACACATGAAATTCCCCGCTTCAATACTGTTGGCAAATTAAACATATTTTCACGGCCGGTGCCACATGCACAGGTTTCCCGTCTCATGAAATTCTGTTTTACGTCCCAACAAAATAGGAAACCGCTACGCAAATTCCATTTGCAGGTTTTAACGGACAATGTGCAAACATCGAAAACACGAATTTATGAAGCGATAACAATGAGTCTTGATGGTTCTTACGTGGTGGTATGCTCACGCAGCAACATTTCCATTATCGGTGATACTCAGGAGCAGTGCTCCATCACAAATAGACGTGTACACTGTGGCGCGTTCCGCATCTAATTCTGTATTAGGATGTGTTTAATCGCTACTGGAACTGTAACGTTGCTGCTACCTCCATTTTTTCTCAATAGGATTCATCACTATCTTACGTGTCTTAAACTTTTTTTAGCTCAACTCCGACGCATCAGACATCTGAGGAAAGGAATTAAAACTTATTCTTTGCATTTCATTTACCAAGGTAGATTGAAGTGCTCGTCTTTAGTGACTTAAGCGGTACCAAGCTCACCAAAAGCTTATGCTAAAGCTTACGCCAAATTTCATCTTTTTCAAATAAGCTATTGCAAGGAAAAGATGACAGATATCCTGAAACTGGCAATGCCTTATTTTCTCCTACATTCTTAGGCAGAGAATGATTTGAACTGAGATGAACAGTACTATTTTGCAGCTTTTATACGGGTCGAGATAATCAGAACAGGCAGTGAATAAAGGAAGCCGAAAGGCGACCAAGACATCGAACTGGTGTTTTGAGGATATCGTTAGTTTAAACAAACTTTTCAGATCTTTGTGTATGTGCAATATATTATGAGCAAAATTGTATTTTTTCTTTTTTTTTACGCCGTTACTTTTATTCTGAATTATGTTAATTTTTGATTATGCTTTATTAAGCAAATTGTACTGCATTGTGCGTCTGCCAAGACGATTTCGTGTATTTTTTGACTGTACACATTAACTACTCATAATTTCTGTTCACTGTAGTAGTAAATGATTGGGAGTTTGGTGACCGAGCAGAACTTCTCAAACAAAAAATTTGAAGTAAAAATTCTAAGCCGCAGCTTCGAATGTATGAGCAACTTCAAATGTGTCTGTATGCAAATGTTGCAGTAACAAAGCTCTGACTTACAGTACATCACGGTATTACTTTGCCAAAAAATTCTACAGTGCTATTTGAGGAAGCTGAGGTGTGTGTGATAATTTAAACCAGCATTTGTTAATTTGATTTAGGCTTTTTGCATACGTTTCAAAATAACTGTATCAGTAATTAGTTGTTTTATTCTGCATACACAACTGTAATAATAGTTTAGTGCTATCCTGCGACAATCATTTTGCAAAGATTTTCACATGTGCTACACAACTGAACTATACAAAAAATAAATTTTCACAAACTTTAAATCCGCATCAATAAACAGTGCAATTTTAGTATTCTGGGAATAACTTTCAAGTTCTTGTTGCACCGTGGTTTTCTGATGAATCGTCTGAACAAAGCTTAACTGGAATCGGTTGATCGCTTTTTTCGGACGAAAATAAACTGTACAGCAGAACAGCCCCAACTGCAAGCACTGTTCCAAGACCGAACAGAATCGAGGGATACAGTGCGAAAAGCATTGCAGATGTGATGCAGGTCAAAATGATTGCAATGGATGTGGCAAAAGCTTTCACAATATTGTTTGCATACTTTATCACGACAGAAGACATGAGGCCACCGAAAGCCGTGATAGCGACCACACCCCAAACAGCACTGTCAAAACCAACCATCATCCCATTCTTCATCACCTTATCACGGTCTTGTACCTAAATTAAAGAAAAATTCAGAATCGGAAGAAATCTTGTCAGAATTGAATGCATCACTTCCTTTTGAACTTCATAACCCTGATAAGCAGGAGTTTCAGTCCACTGCGCTGGAAATAGGTCCTGCCAGTTTTGAAATTTTAACCATGTTCGTTAAGCATTTTGACATTATTTAGAAAATATTTCAGAAAAAAATGATGTGACGAAGGCAAAGAATTCCCCAGCTACTTGCGCTAGTTGCCACATCTAGCAGTACAAGCAGTAGATGGTTGCGACATAAACAACAGATTCAGGATGGATTGCCAAAGAAGGCCGAGAACGAAAGCCAAAATTTGACCAGCTAGGAAGAACGTAGAACCTACGAATACATTAATTAAGCCGAAGGGCACCGAGACAGATGAGAGCTGCACATTCCGCACAAACAGCGACACATCGGAGCCTTTCAGAATTTTTTCAAGAAGTATACCAGCGAATCCTGAAATCCATGAGAGTTGCCCCGACAGCATTAGTAATTGTATTTTATTAATACAGTGCAATTGCGTGCAACAAGCAAGCGGCCTGGATCGCATTATGCGTCCCGAGCTTTATATTTTGGGAATGACGTTTCTCTGAGCGAAATCATCTCGACAAGCGAAATGGTTGTTTTTAATAAGTCGATAAGTAGTGCCCCTAGCTTACAGCTACACTAGCTTTTTGACCATCATAACTCGGCCGGCTGCTTCTAGTGGATAGAAGGTTAACGGAGCTGTGACAGGTGGGCCGAGGAACTACAGCCTGAACTGCAGCTGAGCAACTGCATTTCTTTAACTCCAAGAATCCGCGGCAAACAGTTCCAGCGTGATTTTATGATGAACGGGGAGGGCGATAGGACTAGGCACCGCGAAAAATAAATGACGGCCTTTTCCCCTAGCGGATACCGAAGCTTTTAGCATAGGAAAGGTAAAATTAATGAAATATAATCAGAGAGCAAAAAATTTACCAGATGAGCAGAATCAAACGGAATTATCGTCGCAGGGAGGCGAGTTTGAACTTTGTTCTAAGTCGTTCGCTTCAAACAAAGCCAGAAAACGAGGTAAAATTATTCACTAAGGAAACGTCAGTTTGGCTACAAATGTCATTTTGGTTGAAAGAAAGAGAGAAAGAACGAATCTAAAGTGTACTTTTTATGCCCTTTTTTATGCGTTTTTGCCGTGCAGCGCTAGAGCGCTGCAACAGGCAGCAAAAACGCATATT